ATTGGCACAGGACAGAGCAGAGTTTAGGGCTGTTGTACATAGGGTCGCTATGAGTCGCAAGCGACTCGACGGCACATAACAATGATAAGGGTCTCACTCTTTTTTTCTCGGGGGGTGGGTCTTGCTCTTATTGTAAAAATTTCTTTAACATAGCATTTTCCAAGTCAACATTTTTCAGGTGTACAGTTTAGGGATATCATTGCGTTAATCCTTGCCAGATTTCCCATCACCGGAATCAGGCTTCATAAACAGTGGCCCTTCCTTCTGTTTTCTACACCTGGTAACTGCTAACAAATTTTCAATAATTAAATGATCGAGATCTTGAGGGGGTGCAGGGTAGAGCATGCTTCAGCTCATAGTCACTCAGAGTCGTAATCTGCTTGGTGGCACCGAAGGACAGCTCCGTCCCTTTTGCCTGATCTTGATGTTGTGGGAAGATCGTATAATATTTACGCTTTTGTGGTTGACTGATTTCACAGAGCACGAGGTTTTCATGATTCATCCACATGGAAGCCTGTTTCTAGGACTTCATTTTTGTTTATGGCTATGCGGTACTCCATTGTATGTATATACTGGCTTTTGTTTACCCATTCATCTGTTGATGGATATGTTGAGTTTTTCTACATCTTGGCTGTTGTATCATGAATTTAATGAACCCTGGTGTACATGAGTCTGTGTTGCTGGCTTCAGAAGTCTTGCTAGTAAACAGCTGCAAACATCCATTACGATAATAAATGATGCAAGGAAAATGGAATTTCCATGATGTGGATCTGTACATCACACCAGAGGAAACGACAAACTCAAACTGGATCACGGTCCTAAATGGGAGTATTAAAATCATTAAACATAGGAGAGCCATGGATGTAGGAGCGTGAGGGTTTGAATCGGTTCCTTTTGCCCTTTTGCCCATCACCTTAGAGAATGTAAAACTGGACTGGGGTAGAGATGAGGTATATGCACAACATAAGGGCTCTATCCCTACTTGCTCCATGATCAGATGCAAGTGAATTGGCGTCTCTGCGCTCCCGTCATCCGTCTGTGCATCGAAGCTGCTACAGCGTCTTGCGGAATTATCTTTTGCATCCATGTAGAGAGCACTGATGTCAGTTGTTCCTGGTACTGAGTCTCCCCCTGAACTGAGGTGCTCTCCTGCCTTCTCCCGATGACCCAGGTGGTGTGTGATGAGTGTGGCTCCCGGGGCTTCGGGTTTGTCCATTTTGAGACCCACGAGTCTGCGCAGAAGGCCATCCGCACGATGAATGGGATGCTGCTGAATGACCGCAAAGTGTGAGTGGCTGGGCCCCTGGGGGGCAGGGACCAAGGCAGAAAAGACAGAATCATAGCACCACCGAGTGGGACAGATGGTGTTGCTGCTCCAGGTGCGGCTGTGAATGTCTCCCGGTTACCGAGAAGCCCTGGAGGGTGGCTCTGAGCAGAGGGAATGGCTCAGGGCCAAGTCCTTCGTACCCTCAGTGACTTCATCTGCTTTCTGGCCTGCTGAGCCTGGCTGACCTTTTTCCTAAACCTTTTGAGTCTGTAAGGGCTATTTTGATTGGAAGAAGAGTTGGCCTATACACAGCCTGCCTTCTTCACACGGTTTAAATGTGTGATACCATCCCCATTTCACAGACAGGAAAATCGAGGTTATTGATGATGATTATAAAATGGATTTAATCAGGCTGTCCAAGTTTTGATTCTGCCCTTGTCATAGCCCAGCCCCATACCTGGGGTAAATGAGGTCCTGGGGGCCCCCAGGCTTTTCTCCAGGGAGACTCCTGTCCATCAGACTGACTTCCTGTCACGCACTGCCTCACTCGCTCTCAGGCATGCACTGGCGCAGACTCTGTGTGCTTTGCTTGCTTCTTTCCTTTCTTGGATGCCCCTTCTAAATCTAAGCCAAATCTACTGCCATCAAGTCCATTCTGACTCTCACTGGCCCTTCCTCAGGTTTCCAGGGCTGTAAACATTTAGGGAGCTCTGGTGGCCTAGTGGTAAGAACCTGCGCTGCAATCCTGAAGGCACATGGTTCAAATCCACCAGGGGCTCCAAGGGAGAGAAGGATGGGCGTTCTCCTCCCGGGACTAACTGCCTCTGAAAACCTGCTGGAGGGTCAGCTGTGGACTGGTTCTGACTGGACGGCGCACACCAACAACAAAGGCTTGCCAGAGGAGGCTGCCCATCTTTGTCCTGCAGAATAGCTGGCGAATTCAAACTTGCTGCATGACAGCATTGCACCACCAGGGTGCCTCTCACTGTGTTAAGTGCATATTAAAAGGCCGTGCAAACGCTTAGGATGAGAGTTTGAATCCCAGTTTTGCAGGAATAAAGATTGAGATTCACAGGTAAGCAACTGAAGAGGCCCAGTTGAAACCTTTGTCAGCTTCTGAAGAGGCCCAGTTGAAACCTTTGTCAGCTTGAGTGCTGTGTTCTCACCTGTCGGCTGTCCATCCAGGAGGTGTTCTGTGTGCGTGTGTCACAGGAATGAAGCCCCAATCACCTGATGCTGGAACAAGTGCTGTGGCATAGAATCCTGGCTGACTTGGACCTTGGGTGTATTCCCTCCAAGGAGCCATTTCCTGATGGACACACAGACCTGCAGAAGGGGCTGAAGATTGTTGGGCAACTGTGGTTGGGATATTGGGGCAGCTGATAGCTCCCCACCTCATCTGTATGTCCACAGCTTCGTTGGCCACTTCAAGTCCCGACGAGACCGGGATGTGGAGCTGAGGACTCGGGCCATGGAGTTCACCAACATCTATGTGAAGAACCTGCAAGTAGATGTGGACGAGCGGGGCCTTCAGGACCTCTTTTCCTCGTTCGGTGGGTGTGCTCTCAGAGGCCTGAGAGGAGGGAGCATTATTCTCTGCCTTCTACCCATCCCCTTGCCTGGCTGGAAGTAGAACACCCAGGGGCTTCCTGAGCACTTGTGGGAAGAGAAGGGTCCTTCTGGGATTTCTCCAACTCCCCTTTGAGCCAGATTGACCCTTCCAGGGAAGCTGTTGAGTGTGAAGGTGATGAGGGACGACAGCGGCCACTCCAGAGGCTTTGGCTTTGTCAACTTCGAGAAGCATGAGGAAGCCCAGAAGGTAAGAGCCTCCCCAGGACCTTGTTCTAGAGAGGAAGCAAGCACAAAGCCAGGTGTAGGGAGAATGGAGATCAGGAGCGGGGTTCTCCAGGTGTCCGTGCAGTGGAAGAAATCTTCCCAGTCTAGACCTAGAGGAATGGGGGATTCCACACACAGCTGGCCCTTTCCTCCCTGAGATGCCAAACCAGCAGGCTTCATCCCACTTAACTCTGTCCCTGAGGCAGGCTTCTTTCCACAACTCCTGCTCCCGAAGGGCCTTTGACATTGCCATTAGCTCTTAAGCTGATAGTGACCTTGAGGTCAGGGAGGGAAAAGTGTCATATTGTTTCTGACTTCCGAGTCTCTGTAAGCGCTGTTTTCTCAAATGACTTCTCTTGACCCACTTTTAGATCCGTGCAGTTTAACAGAAATGTGAACCACATAGATACTAGGACATTTTCCAGTTGTTCTTGCTCATAGTGACCCATGAAAACAGGTCCTTGTCCTGTCCTGCACCATCCTCGGGATCTCTGTCCTGATCCAGCCTTTGTGATAATCACTGTCAGTCCATCTTGAGTCTCCCTCTGTTTTTCTGACCCTCTGCCTTCCCTAGCATGCTGTCTCTTACCAAGGACTGGCCCTTCCAACAACATGCCCAAGTTGAGGTGAAGTTTCACCGTCCTTGCCCTTAAAGGAACACTCTGGCTGCACTTCCTTCAGATGTGTTTGGTATTTCGGCAGTCTAGGGAATATTCAGTACTCTTCTCCAACACCACAACTCAAAGGCGTCGATTCTTCTGTTATCCTTAGTCATTGTCCAACTTTCAGATTCATAAAATCAACTGAAAATTCCATGGCTTGGATCAGCTGCACCTTAGTCTTTAAACAGACATCCTTGCTCTTTTGGACCTTTGGTGAGGTGCCTGACAGCACATCTCCTCAATGCAATATGTCTTTTGATTTCTTGACTGCTGCTGTATCGAATGTTGACTGTGGATTAAAGTAAAATGAAATCATTGACAATATCAATCTTCTCTCCATCTATCATGATTTTGCCTGAAGGCCCAGGGATGAAGATTTTCTGGTATGCACATTGAAAAATAATTTTTTTTCTTTTTTTAGACTGATTTGAACTGCTGAACTTTTTAGCTAGCAATCCAGTGCTTAACCTACACTGCTACCCAGTTTGGCAGACGAGTCAAAATTTGACACAGTTGGCCACCAAATTAAAAAAAAAATCAAGGGTTGAGAAACATGTCTTTAAAAATATTAACTGAAGCCCTCTGGGTGCTGTCGATTTGATTCCAATTTACTGGACAGGATTTCAGTTAAAATTGACCCTTTTATGGGAACAAACCACAAGGTTTCTTCTGCAGAGATGCTGGTGGATTTGAACCATTAATCTTCTGGTTAGCAGCTGAGTCCTTACCCATTGTGTTACCATGACTTCTTTTTTTTTTCACCATGATTTCTTAATAACAAACAAACCCACCTTACAGTTTTTGATGTGTGATGTCAAGTCAGCCATGAAAGAGTCTGTCAATTATGCTGTAAGGCAATTTTGAAGAATTATACTTGTTGCTTTTTTCCAAATAAATCAGGGCATAGAGTTAGAACTTAAATCTTAAATATGGAACATTTTCCAGAATTTTTTTTTTTAAGGCAGAACTCAAGAAAATGTTTTTCTCTGCAATTATCACGAACTGTCCCAGGTCTTTAAAAAGTAGCTTCATTTTTTTTCAGTGACTCTCCTCCTGACACTAAGTATTCTCTGCTCACAAGGCCACCCTTGTTCACGTGGCGGGGGCAAGGACCAGGGCTGGTCTCAGAGCCGAAGCCTCGGCCACAGCCAGGTGGCTCTCAAGCCCACTGTCCCCTTCCCACGCAGGCTGTGGTGGACATGAACGGGAAGGAGGTGAGCGGGCGGTTGCTGTATGTGGGCCGGGCCCAGAAGAGAATGGAACGGCACAATGAACTGAAGCGCAAGTTTGAGCAGATAAAGCAGGAGAGGATGAACCGCTACCAGGTGAGCGTCGGGGCTGCTGCTACCTGGTGTCTATTTCCGGACTGCCATGAACACGGCTCCTTTATGTAGTGATCTCATTTCTGGGAACTTGGCTCAGAAACGGGAATGTTCTTCCCTATCATGTTTGTAACATTGGAGAAATTGGATGCAACCATAGTTGATTAGGGATGCTTAGTTGGAATTTCGGTAGTTGGAATTCTTTTGGATGGGACCTTTCATCATTCCTAGGCCATGCTCTCTAATGCGGGTTGCCCCCTCCAGCCATGAATAGGCAAAGTGCCCCGTGGCATACTAAGTACTGAGTCCAGTCTTTCTCAGAGCTGCCCTAAAGGACAGTAGAAATTCCCTGTGGGGTTTTGAGGCTGCACTCTACAGGAGTGGATGGCCAGGCCTTTGTTCCTGCAGGAGTCACCCCACTTTTCAGTTAATGCCTGAGTACTACCAGGGCCCCTTCAAAACTCCCTACACACTTGTCTGCCCTTCCCTTCCAACACTTATTGTATCAGGTGAACACAACTAGCAAATGAGTTTCCTGTTAATAATTCCTACACGAGTTGTTCTGTGACGTTTTGGTTGTTGACCCCCACAATGTGTCTACACTCTCCCATTTTAATCCTGTCTTCCCATAAACATCCTTCATATGTCCCTGCCTCTCCTGGCCTACTTCAGTTCCAGCTTAAAAAGGGTGTCTTAAGGGAACTCTGGTGGCCTAGTGGCAAGAAGCTGCATTGCAATCCCAGAGGTATGCGGTTTGAATCCCCCCGATGCTCTGCTGGAGAAGGAGGGACAATCTCCTCCTGTACCAGTCAGATCCGATTTGATGGTACACACGCGCGCGCGCGCGCACACACACACACACACAATAATAAATCCCCAAAAAAAGGGTGTCTGAGGACAGTGGTGTTGTCACTGTGTCCCGCCGAGTTGGAACCGACCCATGGCTGACCTTACAGTGGGTTTTCAGAGGCAGTTAGTCACACAAGAGGATGGACCATCTTTATCCTGCAGAGTAACCAACTACTGGTGGATTTGAGCCATGTACCTTTGGGTTGGCAGCCCAACTCCTTACCACCAAGCCAAAAGTGGGGAACCAATTTAGTAAGCCTTTTCATATTTTTTTTCTTATGAATTTGAGTTTTGTTCTACATTTTTTGCCTATTCTAAGTGGGACGTTCTATTGTTTCCCTGGTCAGAGTAGTCCACCATGGAAGCCGGGCACCATCTACATCTTCTGAACTTTAGGGTGAGGCTCACGTAGGACATTAATCCTATAAAACTCCCCACGTGTTTCTAAATGCCCCTAGGGGAAGTCCTACTCCAAGGGGAGAGAATGAGGACAAATGAGTTTCATATCAAAGTGAGACTATTTTTCTAAAATAACAGATTAAATTGAAATATTGCCCATCAATGAGTTAATCTTTTGTTAGGGGATAATTGACAATGAATTTTAAACTATTTGACAGAAGGCCCAGATCTGTCATGGAGAGGAGTGTATGTGTGGATGTATATATTTGTAGCAAACAATTAAAATGCTCCGCTGTAAACTGAAAGGTTGGAGGTTCAGATCCACTCAGCGGTGCCTGGGATGAAAGAATACCAGTTCACATTCTGAGACCTTCTATTGTTGCAAATGAAGACAGTTTGAATCTACCAGGTGGTCCATAGGAGACAGATGGTAGTTCCCTCCTATGTGACTGACAGGCTCTGAAAACCTGCGTTGGGTTGTTTCCAACTCCATGAGTTTAAGCTTTTTGAGAATAGACTTACTTATAGAAGACACTGAGATTGTCATCAGTTCTACAGTCATACATTTGAATTCATGTGAGGATTGGAAGGAGAATGTGGAGGCGCTGGAGGTCCCTCGTGCAGGGAGTGCAGACTCTGAGCTGAGATCATTAATGTCATCTTGGAAAAGTCCCTTACCCTGTTAGTATCTTCAATTCCTTGTTTGTAAAATGGGGATGAAAGTTGTGCTGAGGATGAGAAGTGAAATGTGTAAAGGATGTGAGTGGTCCCTGGCACCGAGCGTGAGAGGCGGTGTGCCTGAGGCTGCCCAGCTGGCAGGCTGTGGACACGCGTAATCGCAGATCTGTTCAACCTCAGCTGTCTGGGGCCTGAGTCTCACCTGCTGCTGCTCCACATGGTCTGTCTGAAGACCTATGTTCTCACTTAGTTTCATGCCTGTGCTTGGCTGTGGCACCCGAGGCTTCCCTCTGTGGGTCCCATCTGTGAAATGGGCACACGTGTCTGAGAATTGCCACGGGATTTAGGGACAGTAGCTTCTCGATGGTGCTGTGGAAGACTGAGAAGCAGGAGGCTTGGCTCCAGGGCTCTGGTGCCCCTCACACTGCTCCCCATAAACAGCCCAGGGTTTGGTGGGGAACAAGCATATCTAGCAAAACCCCTTCCTTCCAGGGCGTGAACCTGTATGTGAAGAACCTGGATGACTCCATCGATGATGAGAAACTGAGGAAAGAATTCTCACCGTACGGAGTGATTACCAGTGCAAAGGTGAGGGCCAGGGGCACCTGTAGGGGGCTAACCTGCCTTTCCCCTCCTGTCAGTGCTCTCCCCAAACCCCCCACTACCACGTGTCTAGGGGACCTTCCAGAGAGTTGAGGCCAGGCCACCCCGAGACTGTGCCAAGTGGAGCTCCGTCTCCCTACATCCTGTGCAGAGGTCTCGCCTGGCATGGGCGCGTGGGGAAGGAGGGAACAATATCCTAGTCACACAAGCTGCATTGACTGGGCTCACTGGGTGTAACCTTGGGCCATTCCACAAGCATTTACTGAGAGCAACTACTGTATGCCAGCCAGGCTTCAGAAAGTCAAATCGCAGTGTTTCCAGCCAGTGACAGCCTGTCTGTCCATCTTGTAAATGGGAGTGTTGGGCTTCAGCATTCCTCTTTGTTGAGCACCTTCTGTGTGCCTCACCATGGTAGGCATTCCAGGTGTGACCCGCCGGCTGTTTGGCCACCTGGCAGCTCCGTAGCCTTGGACAGGTGTCTTGATTTTGGAGCTTTCTCTCTAAGGTAAAAGGGAGACATCTGACTGACTTAAATGCGTTGTATGAGGTAGAAGCGTTGAGAACCCTGGGTGGATCTCATCCCTTGCTGCTCTATAAAATCCTTTGGGGAACTCTGAAATACAGATGGATGCCTGCAGTAGATAAACTGAATGCAGATCTCTAGGCGTAGGACCTGTCATCTTAAAAAAGCATCCTAGATTTTTAGAAGTGCCACCATTCCTTCACTCCACACTTGGACTTGAGCTGTTTACAGACTGGTGGGAAACAGAAGGAACTTAGCAGATCTGCCCCTGCCTTTGAGCAGCTGTTGCTGTGGTGGGGATGCCGGACATAACCACTGGCCTCCCCTGTGTTACAAGGTACTAAATGTGAGTAGTCGAGGCAGGGCTGCCAGAGCTGAGTGCGACAGGAGGGAGGGCTTCCTGGAGGAAGCAGCAGTGTCAGAGCTGTGAGGGTGTGCAGGGGGCTGCAGGTGAGAATGCTCAGCTTTCTAATGAGACCACTGCGGGTGCTGAGGACCTGTCCTTGTGCTATGATAGCTGGGTTCTTAGGAAGTTGTCTGAAGTTCTTTGGCAGTTTAATCCAAATTCTGTCTGAGGCCTGGAGTTTGAGGAAGCGGTTATGGTGTTTTCTGGGCTGGGAGCAGCTTCTTGAGAAATGGGACTTTTCAAGCCGTACCCACTGCTGTTGAATTGGTTCTGACTCAGCGCCCCTCCATTGGGTTTCCGAGGTGGAAATATTTTTTTTCTTAATTTTTTTTTTTATTATTTTTGTGTGAGTGTACCGTCGGATCAGATCCTGACTGGTACAGGAGGAGATTGTCCCTCCTTTCCCGGCAGAGCATCTGGTGGATTCGAACCGTGTGCCTCTGAGATTGTAGTTGCAGCTCCTTGCCACTAGGCCACCAGAGCTCCCCTCGAGGTGGAAATCTTAAGGAGGAAGATTGCCCCTCTTCCTCCCAAAAGTGGCTGGGGGATCTGACCCAACTATTTGGGTACCATTGCAGCAGAGCATTGCAGTGATGGTATCAGAGCTCAGTAAATTTGAAATACCTTGGGAAGCTGTGGCTCTCCTTATACTTGGTTACAATATGGTAGTGGAAAACTGAGAATTTTTTTTTAACTGAGATTTTTGCAAGCTAATCAAACCTTGCTGTAAATCTCAGCACTAGCATTAGGTACCTGTAGAGATGCAGGCATGTCACCTTGCCTTTCAAATCTTGCTTGTTTCTGTACGAGTGAGTCGGTTTTGAACCTGGCTCGTGGTGACTCTGCAGCCCAGGGAAGAAGTGCTCACTGGGTTTCCCAAGCTGTGTTCATTACAGGAACAAGCACCGGATAGTTATTCTTCCAGAGAGGCCAGTGGGATCAAACTCCTGACCTTTCAGTTAGCAATGGATCATTTAACCACCATGGCTCCTCCTCCCCACTGGGAAAGCAGTAGTTAACATTACCCACTTCTAGACGTGACCCTAGTCACCCCCTGAGGCTCCCACAAAGCAGCTGCACCCAGTAAGGAGCAAAATGGTAATGGCTGGCATTGGTGGGGCCCTAGGGGGACACAAATGATGACTGTGCCCAGCTGTTAGTGAATTTGGCGATTTGAGTCCTCTCAGCAACACCTCAGAAGAAAGGCCTGGTGATCCACTGCTGAAAAATCGGCCACTACAAACCGTATGAAGCAGTGTTAGGGCATCGGTTATACTCCATAGTCACATCATCTCGAGATTCACTGACCACCAATCAGACACTTGAGGGGCCTTCTAGAATGAACAGAATTGTGTAAGTCTGCGTGGCTTTGCAGTGGTGTGCACCGGAGGGTGTCCCTCCTGTGAATGTGCCAAGCCAGTTAAAAATGGGGATTTTCTATCCTTTTACATCCTACAATTAGATATATTTTTAACTTTTCTTGTTTTTGGTTCTTATTTTATTTTGTGTGTGTGTGCTGTCAAATCGGATCTGACTGGTACAGGAGGAGATTGCCCCTCCTTCTCCAGCAGAGTATCTGGTGGATTCAAACCACACGTATTTATTAAACAATGGCTGTGGTAATGGAGGTAGATGTGTCAGACAAGAAGGTTGGCTCAGGATAGAGCAGTGTTCAGAACTGTTGTACATAGGATTGCTCTTAGTCGCAAGCAACTCGATGGCAAATAACAATTTGCATAATCACTTATATAAGTGCTTATTATATCAATGTCCAGTTCACACTGAGCTCTGTGTACGTATTAGCTGAACCACCAGTGGCCACTCTCAGGATATTTCTAGATGCATAAAATAAAAGGCATCTCAAAACCCATCACCATCAAGTTGACTGATTAACAGCACCCCTGTGGGACAGAACAGAGCTTTGTTATTTTACCTCTGTTGTTACTCGGTGCTGTCGAGTCGTAGATGACTCCTAGCAACCCTATGAACAAAAGACCTAAACACTTGTATAACTTTCATTTCTCCCCCTTCATAGGGTTTATGGAGGCAAGCTATTTCAGAAGTAGAAGCCACTCCTGCTTCCAGGATTTTAGCTCTAGTCCTAAAATATAAAGCCTAAAGCCAGAGTCCCACTCATTCTAGGAGTCCCAATGCCTAATCCATGGACAGAAATGACCTGAAATGATGTCAGGTGTCACCTGTGTCACTCACTAAAAGCTGTCACTTTAACAGAAGCAGGTTGCCACATCTTCTCTTGAATTGGCTGGTAGGTTTGGAATTGCCACCCTTAGGTTAGCGGGTGAGTGCCAAACCACTAACGACGGAGCTTTCATAACATTTGCAGGGTTTTTACGGGTACACGGTGGCCTCGTCAGTAGGGAGCTGCCCTGCTAACTTATACTCTGCCTCTCTGGCAGTTCGAATCTACCAGCAGCTCCATGAGAGAACTGTGGGCAGTCTCCCGTGTGACTTCCAACCTCTAAAGAGCTACTGGAGGGTGAGCTGTGGGTCGGTTGACTCAATGACAATGAGTTTGAGGATATATACACACTATATAATACATAGAGAGCTCTGGTGGCTTAATGGTAAGAAGCTATGCTGCAGTCCCTAACGGATGTGGTTCAAATCCACCAGCTGCTCCATAGGCGGATGGGCAATCTCTTCCTGTGTAATTGACTGTGCCTCTAAATCTGCCCTGGTGTGTCAAATTCCAAAAGGGTTTCCCATCGGGGACAGGTTTTGTTGGAGCTCCCTGACTAAGACAGACTAGGAAGTAGGATGGGCCATCTAGTTCCTAAATAAAATGGTTTTGAAAACCCTATGAGCACTAAACAAAGAGGAGAGTTACAGTAGTGTATGGAGCATGATAGAACCGGGTTCAGGTCTTCTGTTCATAGGGTTGCTGTGAATGGTGTTCAACTTGACAGCACCTAACAACTACAACAACAATAAAACAACAAAACCCCACTGGAAGGTAAACTGTGGGTTGGTTCCAAGTCAAGAGCAACACAATAATAATATAAAGTGTGTATGTACGTATGTGTGTATATACACACACACACATACACACATATGTATATGTAATCAACTAAAAGACACTAACATGACAGCTATTTCTGCTTCCTTACTAATTCATGAAACAATTTTTAGCAAAGCAGAAATTGGCATATGTAGTATGTTTAGATCTAAATAGCTACCACCTATGTTTGCCCCATATACTTTGGTCATGTTAAGAAAGGTCATTTCCTTGGAAAGGTCAGCAAAAGAGGAAAACACTCAAGAATGAGGGGAAAAAAAAGAATGGGATTGACAGAGTGGCGGCAGCAGTAGGTTCAAGTGTGTGAGTGATGGTGAGGATGGCACAGGGCAGAACAAGGTCTCCACTTAATTTAGTGGCACCTACCAACATCCGTAATCAGAACGGAATTAGAGGTTAGGGAGAATAACGACACTCTTATCACCATCTACATTGACAAACTCTTCTGGATTTGACTCATGGACGGTCTCCCCACCCCAATCCCTTAAGGAATCCACGGACCCCTGTTTAAAATTCCTATGTGGGGAGCTCTGGTGGCCTAGTGGTAAGGAGCTGCAACTACAATCCCAGAGGCACACGGTTCGAATCCACCAGATGCTCTGCCGGGGAAGGAGGGACAATCTCCTCCTGTACCAGTCAGATCTGATTTGACGGTACACACACACAAAAATAATAAAATAAAATTAAAAAAAATTCCTATGTAATGAGGGGAGAGTACTCTTTGAAATCACGGACAGTCTGTGGTCTCACAGGTGAATATGTCTGTATTTTCACTCTAGTCCTAATATTGATTAGATGTAAGCCAGTGTCTTGACCTTGGAGGAGACCGAGGTTACTGTTAACGTGCCATCAAGTCAGAACCAACTCATAGCTCCCCCTCTAGCAGGTTTTCAGAGGCTGTGAATTGCATAAGAGGATAGTGCCCATCTTTCTCCCAAGGAGCAGCTTGTGGATTTGAACCATGTGCCTTTGGGTTTACAGCACAACTCTTTCCCACCCACTAGGCCACCAGAGTTCCCTTGAAAGAGATGACTTGTTGTCGAGACAGAGTTGACCCATAGCTGACTCTCCAGTGGGTTTTCAGAGGCAGTTAACCACATGAGAGGATAATGCCCATCGCTATCCCATGGAATCTGGTGGATTCACACGCCTTTGTAATTGCAGTGCAGCTTCCAACCATTAGGCCACCAGAGTTCCTGTTAAGAGACTAAGAACGCTAAATGAATTGCAGATTGAATCTTGAACCGAAGAGACATTGGTGGGAGAAAACATAGTGAAATCTAAATAGAGCCTGGAGTTTAATTAATAGCATTGTAATTAATAGTCGAGTTGTATCAGTGTTAGTATTGTTGTGATTAACCTACAGTTAACACTGAGGGAAACTGGGCAAAAGATACACAGCTGCTTCCTCTTGTAGCTTTGCATCTTTTCAATAAATCTGAAATGACTCCAAAACTTGAGTTATTTGAAAAGAAAGAAAAGGTTAAGAACATCTTCCCCAAACTCCTGAAGTGCTAACTGGGCTCTGGGCCTCACAGAGGCAAGATAGGCTTCTCAATTCGTGTTGGGTGTGGAGCCTTGGTGGTGCAGTGCATAAGCACTTAGTTGTTAAGGAAAGGTCTAAACTCACCACTGGCTCCACACTATCTGCTCCCTGAAAGATGACAGCGTAAGAGACCCCGTGGGGCAGATGTCCTCTGTCGTGCAGGGTCTCTGGCCAGTGACTCTGACACACAGGGCTCCTGTGAGTCTTGGCTAGTGTGTAGCTTACTGGGTGACTTACTGAGTGTTGCTGGAATGAAGTACAAGTAGATGACTTTAACAAAAGTTTTGTTTCTCTTAGTTTGGGAGGCTGGAACTTTCATGAATTAGGTGCCCTGCAGCTCTAGGAAAAGGCCAGATTCTCCATTGGCTGTGGGAGAAATTCCTTGTCTCTCCATCTTGCTTCCTGCTTCCTGGAGATCACCACATAATTCGGCATGTGACTTGCCCTGGCCCTCAGCACTAGAGGGAAGGTTCTTGTCTCCATTGAACTTACATTCCTTGGCGATCTTCATGTGGCTTGGCATCTACCTTGGACTGTTTATTTTTAGTATCCCAAGGTTTACCCATGCTAATCCACAGCCTCACTAACATAATCAAAGAGCCCACTCCCAAATAGCTTCTTAACTGCTGTAAAAGTCACTGCCTTCAAGTCAGAATTGGCTCATAGTTGATCTCCAGCAGGTTTTCAGAGGTTGTAAATAGCACGTGATCAGTTCACCCATTTCTCCAGCTGGTGGATGCATGTGGCCTGCCTTTGGGTTGGCAATACAACTCCTTACCCAATAGACCATGAGAGCTCCACAGATTGGGGACTACACACCACAAAGGTCAAGGTCACGGTCAGTCCTCTTGCTTGAGTGACTGACTGCTTGGATCCTCAGTTTCTTTCCCTTGTAAGTTGGACAAGGACAGATATTCTAAGAGGTGCAGCACTTTTCTGTCAGTTCGCTGTAGTGAGGTAACTTGAGGTTGTTGGGATGCTGAACCCTGTGCCACTGGTGTGTCAAATGCCATAATGGTTACCTAGGGTGGGGAGGGTTTGGTGGAGCTCCCAGATTAAGACAGGCTTGGAAGCAGGAGTGGCATCCACTTCGTAAACAACATGCCTTTGGAAACTCTATGAACTTAGAGAATCGACGATAGTTCTAGAACAGGTCTAGGTCTTTTGTTCACAGGGTCCCTGTAAGTTGTGCTTGACTCGAGGGCACTTAATTTGGACAGTACCTCACGAGTAACTGTATAAAGTGAGGAGACACAGAAGGGAGCTGGCGTGCAGTAGATCTCAGTAAATGTGGGGTGATAAGGTGCCCCTCTGTCCTGGGCTCCTTATGGCCCTGTCTCATTGTTGAATTTGGCCCCAGGGGATGGGGGGAGCACTGCCCCCGGGAGTCTCCCTTCCCTGCCCCCAGCAGTCCTTGTCTTTCTTGCTTTTAGGTGATGACAGAGGGTGGCCACAGCAAAGGGTTTGGCTTTGTGTGTTTTTCCTCTCCAGAAGAGGCGACCAAAGCCGTGACAGAGATGAACGGGCGCATCATCGGCACCAAGCCACTGTATGTGGCGCTGGCCCAGCGCAAGGAGGAGCGGAGGGCCATCCTGTCCAACCAGTACATGCAGCGCGTCTCCACCTTGCGGGCCCTTGGCAACCCCCTCCTGGGCTCCTTCCAGCAGCCCACCAACTACTTCCTGCCTGCCGTGCCTCAGGTCGGCCTGCCTCCCCACCCCCCTGCTCCCCAAACCCCTCCCCGGCAGCCAGGTGGCCTCGTGCTTACCCACAGACATTGATTCTCAGCTTCCTTCTGCCAGTTACTCCCTAGATAGGCTGTGTGAGCTTCCCAAGTCGAGTGTCCCTCTCTGTAGAATAGGGTGTTGGGCTGCTGTCAGATAACTTTCCAGTCTGAGGTTTATGAATGTCGCCCAAAGAATCCTCTGATCAGATCATGGACGGCGGTAGTTCAGTGATAGAATTCTCACCCTTTGTGTAGAAGACTGTGTTTGATTCCAAGGGTTACACCTAATGCATGTCCACTACCTTTGAGCCCGTGGAGAGTTGTGTATTGCTATAATGGTAAACAGGTAAGACTAGGAAGAAAGGCCTGGGGATTGACTTCTACACATCAGCCAGTGGAAACCATGTGGGTTACAGCCGTCCCGTCAGCAACCAATCCTGGGGATGCTGCCGGGGGGCTCAGCAAGTTGGCTGCCTCCTCAGTGACAACTCAGAGCAACATCAAGAAAATGAAGTAAATAACTCTTAACCCCAAAGGTCCTAAACGCATTATGATGATGATGCATGTTTGCTGTTGACCTTGGTGAGTGGCCTTGTGCACTACAGCAGCTGACTGTGGCCATGGGGTTTTCACTGGTTGCTTTTTTTTTTTTTTTAAACAAAAAACCAATCGACAGGCCTTTCGTCCTAGTCTTACCTGTTTGTCATTATAGCAACACTCTGTTGAAGTCTGTTCAGAAACAGCAATACACAGGCAGGTGAGTGGTGGGTCAGCTGGGAATCAAAACCAGGCCTTCTACGGGGAAGGCAAGCATTCTACCCCCGGAGCCCCCATTTATCCCGAGACACACTTGGTCAGAGAACTTGTTCCACGGTGTTTCCAGTCACTTCTTTTCCAGAAGTAAGATTGCCAGGTCTGCCTACTGCCGGGCCTGTTACACCTTGGTCTCTCCAGGATGCTAATCTGTATTATTTCCCACCCCAATCCCCCCAAAAAATAGTATGCAGCCCTTCACTTTTTGTGGAATGCCTCTCAGATATTAGTGTTCTGAGGAGGCTGGTTTGGGAAGGGAATTCACACAACCCAAACAACTTGCAGGATGGGGAAACCATCCGAGGCTCCTAGGCTGGGCATGTCCCGTCTCATGGCAGATTAAAGTGCGTCCCAGTTCGCGGGACTGACTCAGAAGCCCGAGTTCTTGCTAGCAGTCATTCTGAGACGGGAAGAAGCCTTTGCCCCGTTTTTGTAGGTTCTTTACTAACCAGGCCTTTGGAGGGGATAGTGGAGTTCCCACCATGCCATCCCCAAGGGGGTGAAGTTTCTCCTGGCCATGGGGCAGACCCCTTTACTAGGTCCTCCTCTCCCACACAGCCTCCAGCCCGGCCTGCGTACTATGGCTCTGGCCCCATCACTCCCATCCGACCTGCCCCCAGGTGGACGGCGCAGCCACCTAGACCATCGAGTGAGTGACCAGCCCCTTCTACCCTTAGCATGTAAGAACACAGCTTGGGGGGCAAGGCTGGCTCTGCCACTTGCTGGGGTGTGAGTCTGGTCAATCACTGTACTCTGAGAGTGTCTCCTTTTCTGGGAGACCTGAAGGAGTTGTGTAGATAGCACTGAACACAATACTGGGCCTCCACAGACAAGCAGATGGGAGCCATCGCGGCAGCTGCAGCCCAAAACTTAGCTGATTGTGACTTAGAACATTCCTGCAGAGCTGATAAAAATGAAACCCTGCCCTGTTGGGTTTGAACCACCATCTGTGGAAGCACAGTTCACACTGACCTGTCTTTGTGGATGTGAGGCGCCAAGCACCTGGGGTCTCTGGGAGGCTCGAGTTGGTTTTGCACCTGTAGCTTTCCGTATCTCCTGTCCCTGGAGGTCCAGGTCTGCCTGGCTTAGGTGAATCCACTCTTCTTTTGCTGGAACCTTCTGGTTTCCCTTCTCTCAAGCCCAGAATCTTCAGAGAGCAGAGTTTTTCACTGTCCTGCCCCAACCTTACACTCTCCATATCTCCCGCCACAAGTTGCCTACTCTCCAGCTGCCTCGATGGTTCGGCTGCCAGCCACGCCCCGGAGGCCCCTGGCTCACCTCAGCACTGTCAAGCAGGCCTCCACCCAGGTGCCACACACCCAGAGAGTGGGTGAGTGTGGGCAGGGCCAGGAGGGAGGGCATCGTCAAGGAGGTCCCTGTTGAGGTTGGCACCGGAGGGTTGTTGGAGCTGGCGCTGTGGTGACCGTGCTGGACACCCTCTTCGGAGCCCATGGAGCATTACCTAGTTCGCGGCAGGCCCACATTCAGAGGCTAACCCACTCTGTGAGCATTGGCTACATGCTGGTCCTGTGCTCGCTGGCCTCAGGGAACTCTGTGTAACCAAGACTGAGCCAATCCCTGCTGATCCTGACGTTACTTATTTTTTTTTATTTATTCATGCACACTTTTCCTCTCTCCCCTCCCTCCTCTTCCGCTTGTTAATCGTACACATGGTTTCTGATTGCCCATCCCTTCCTTTTACCCATTTCGGTACAGGGTTCATTATCTAGCTACTCTTCCCTCCCCATCTCCATCCTATCCTGACAATAATGGGCTAATCATTTGTAGATATCTTAATACCGTAATGAAGGGTCCAGCCAAATCTTGCTCTGGGTAACTTCACTCACTCTGTTACTGTTTTTCTGCTTTTATTATCTGAGGAAAGCCTTTTTTTTTTTTCTTCCTAACAGTCAACATTGGTACTCAGACCACAGGACCTGAGGGGGTGGAAGGAGCTATCCCATCCCGACAACTCCTGTCCTACAAATACTCCTCGACAGTCCTCACCTCCCAGCGGGTAAGGGCCCTCAGTACTCTTCTAGCTGGGACCTCAGGAGGCCTGTCCTGGAACTAAGATGTTGACCCCTCTGGGCCTTGTTTTCCTTTCTTTCCCTGACTCTCGATGCACATGGTCAGTGAGAAAGAAACTAACAGGTGGAGGAATGAGGCCCCGGGCATTTTGATTTGCTTTGTTGGGGCTGTTAGCAAAATTAGTTTGGGGTTTCCTAGGTATTTGTGCTGAGCAGCAAGGAAAAATAGTCTAGGAATCTGAACAGAAAAAGGATGTGATTAACCCACCAAATAGGGAGCTTGGGAATAGCAACTGCAATTAAATAAAAAGGCTGGGGTATTTTATCAGATCCGCCGTCCCTAGGGAGCTCTGGTGTCTTAGTGGTAAGGAATTTGCACTGCCAATGCAAAGGTACGAGGTTCGAATCCACCAGCTCCTCTGCAGGAGAAAGATGGTCACCCTCCTCCCTTGAGATTTGCTGCCTCTCAAAGCCCACCAGAGGGTCAGCTATGGGTCGTTCCGACTTGAGGACACACAGTAGTAACTCTCCCCTTAGAAGTGTCAAGTTGAGCATCATCTTGTCGTCTGGAGTCTCAAGGTGTAAACGTCAAACCTCCGCGACTAGCAGGAAGTAACTGGGTTTTTGTTGGTTTGGTTTTTTTTTTTGTGGCAGTATATACAAGCTAACGTAGATCCACTCACAAGTGCAACATGAACAGTTCAGTGACCGGCATTGGTCATATACTTGACATTGTGTCACCCTTACTATTCATTTAGGTGCTCTGCGCTGGCCCTGCTCTGTGCTGTGGGTGAACTGATGTAGGGTTAATCTGGGGAGAAACAGAAACAGTAATCAAAGCCACTGCTTACTCACAGCAAACCTGTGGTTTTCTGAGGCTGGAAGTGTTACCTACATGAGATTGCCTCATCTTTAGTGGAGCGGCGGGTGGGCTCAAACCGCTGACCTTTCAGTTAGCCAGTCCAGCACTTAGCCAGGGCTCTTTAAATTCGCACAGCCAGTGCTTCCTAAGAGCACAGTGCTTAAGGCAAGTGTTTATTGATTGAGTTCAAACTGCTGTTGGGTTATTCCAGGCACTAGACTTGGCCTCCCCAGTCTGGATGGACCTAGTAACTGGATACAAGAAGTCATCTTTAAACAGCACATCCTTTTTTTTTTATAAACTTTTTATTATTTTTTAAAATTTTTGTGTGTGTACCGTCCAGTTGATCCGACTGGTACAGGAGGAGACTGCCCCTCCTTCTTCAGCGGAGCATCTGATGGATTTGAACCACACACCTTCAGGATTGCAGTAGCTTTTTGCTACTAGGCCACCAGAGCTTCTAAACAGCACATCCTTTTAGAGTGAGTTGAAAAGGAGGCAGAAGTATATGGGATGTGGCCAAAACGTTTTTGACAAGAAGTGCTTTATTTGGTGCACAAAGTGAAGATAGTGTGATTAACCTTTGGGATTCCTCTAGTCCCAAACACCTTGTAAGCTGTTGTTGTTATGTGCCGTCGAGTCGCTTGCGACTCATAGCGACCCTATGTACAACAGCTCTAAACTCTGTCCTGTGCCAATCGCACTGTCTCTGACACTCCCATCCCGATTACCCCAGCCACTGAATCATTCCACCTCCCAGAGGGCCTTCCCCTCCTGCGCTGTCCCTCCACCCTCCCAAGCCTGATGTCCCTCTCCAAGGACCCGTCCCTCCTGGCAACATGTCCAAAGTATGTAAGCTAGAGCCTCTAACCTGTCCTTGGGGACTCTGCCCCACTCCCCCTCCAGACCTTGCTCCCTCCTGCAGGACAGCCTTCTTGGAAATCTTTTGTTCAGGCTAAGCGCCTCCAGGCCTTGCCCATCCTGGGTGGTTGAGGGCTGTCCTGTGTCCCTAGCCCCATGTCCAGGTCCTGGAGCCGCCAGCGCACAGACAAGAACCGCTGACAGCGTCCATGCTGGCTGCGGCCCTGCCGCATGAACAAAAGCAGATGATTGGTGAGTGGTAGGTGGTGTCTGTGAAGTGGTAAAGGGCCTGGGCCGGTTTGGTGGGAAGCTCGAGGGGCAATGAGGAACTGTGAGGATATGGGCCAGCTTTGCCACTGACCAACCTGCTGGGTGGCCTTTGCCCTCTAGGCTCCTGGTATATTGTTTCTTTTTAAAAACTGTTTATATATAAAGCACATCAGCTAATTTTTTAAAAATAGGTACAATTTTATGACATTGTCACATTACTTATATTGTACAACCATCAATATCTGTTGACAAATTTTCCATCTCTATTGGCCTAGTGGTAAGAACCTGCACTGCAATCCCAAGGCATGCAGTTCAAATCCACCAGCTACGCTGTAGGAGGAGGATGGGCAGTCTCCTCTCGTGTGATTCACTGGCTCTGAAAACCCACGGGAGGGTCAGCTGTGGGTCAGCTCTGACTCAAAGGCACACAACAGTTACAGAAACTCTGTGCTTCCTAAACAGTGAATCCTTTCCCCCAATCCTCTTGTCTTAAAGCACTGGCCAGGCCAGTCATCTCAAGGTTTCTTCTAGCTCTTCTAGGGCTTGGACTTCTTTTGGGGAGAGACCCCACAAGTGGAGAGACTGGATACCAGGGAAAATGGGTTTCTGGTGGGAAATGGCCCACAAGGTCGGTGGTGAAAGGGAGGAAGCTGTTGCCAGATCTCATCTATTGCAGGGAGATGAGAAGTGACAGATGACTCAATGGGGCTTCCCTCCGAGCTCTCAACACCTTGTTCTCACATCTCTATCTAGCATGGGCCCTGGCTGAGGAGACCACTGACCGCTGAACGAATGAGCAGTCTTGTTAGTGGTGGCAGATCCTTGTCCTATGGTCATGCTTTCCAAACCCTGCACCAGAGGTCCCCGTTGTCACTGCACTCTTTTCTCTTGACTTCACTCAAGTTTTTCCTTTTTTCTGGGCCTCCCTTTACCCTCACCAAAGGCAGATTCTAAGTGGACTTGAAGCAGGCTTTGCCAGCACCTCTCCATAAACAGCTTCACTGTTCTCATGGGAAGACCTTCCTCCCACACCTAACGTACTGTGGCCTTGGCTAAAACCACCACCTCTTGCCGAGGTGGGCTAACCATGAACACCAAGTGTCGCCTTTAGAAATCCTTGATGGGGAGGGTGGCTTTATCCTGATGGAAAACCCACTGTGTCTGGTCACTTGCCAATCACTTCCCATAGAGAATCCAGTTCTTCACAGTATCCTCTAAGGTGAGCCTAGTTCACGGTTATGAGAGACCTCTGAGGTCTGCCTCGTTCATGGTTATGAGAGACTCCCCGTAAGGCTGAGGACAGGGCCTTCAAAGAGCAGGCCAGGGACAAGAACCCAACTCTCCTCACCGCTCCACTCCACTCTGCCGCCCTGGGATGCCGGAGGATCAGCCCCTCAGGTGTGTGCACGAGCTCAGAGGTGGTTCTGAACAGGTGAACGGCTCTACCCTCTTGTCGAAAGAGTCCACGCCCAGCTGGCAGGCAAGATCACTGGCATGCTGCTTGAGATTGACAACTCGGATCTGCTGCTCATGCTGGAGTCTCCAGAGTCCCTCCACGCCAAGGTAGGTGGAGCCTGGGCACCAGGGAGCTCCGAGCATGGCAGGAGTGTGCAGGACCTAGAGAAACGTCACCTGAGCACACCGCCTTGCCAGGGCATCTCTTTGCCAGGACCGGAAGGTCTGCTGAGTGTGGGCACAGGTGCCACTGAGTCAGCTACGGCTTTCAGAGACACTAATCCAGATCTGAACCTTCTCTCCTATGCCATCCGCAGTCTCTGATAGGCTCCGGTTCACTGTCACAGTCACTGTGTCAATCCACCTTGTTGGAGGGCTTCCTTTCTTTCTCTGACCCTCCACCTTTCCCCAGCATGATGCCTGGCATAGGAGATTCCCTTCATTAAGGATCTGCTACCCCAGCTCCTTAGCTAAATAGCAAATGAATTCTGTTTCGCTCCAAGGTTTTAGTACCAGAAGTTATGTTCTGACTCAGTGTAACAGGGCCGAGCTGTACAAATATGTCCATGTGTCTAAGGAAAGGGACATTGAACTGGAGCTTGGGTGTATAGTTGGATGACAGCTGTGCAGGAATGCCTCAGGAGGTGGGGTGGGAAGGGACAAGGCTTTCCTGGGCCCCTGCACAAAGGCCCGCCCTGCTGTGCCTACAGATAGAAGAGGCGGTCGCGGTGCTGCAGGCACACCGGCCCACTGAGCAGCCGACAGAGTACCTGGACTGAAGTCAGGTGGGTGCGGTGGAGGGGACAGAAGCCGCAGGACCCAGAACCTGTAAGCCGGGGCAGCAATGGTTTCACAGTCCCTGGCTTCCTCTGAGGCACCTAGAGGACTCTGGGGGATGCTGTGCATCTGGAATAGGTGTCAACAGCCAGGGTGCAGGTGGAGGGAGGCGCTACTGTGCCTGAGGCCCGGCCTGGACTCCAGCTAAAGACAGGCATCTTGCAATACTCTAGAAACATTGACTTGCACTCTCTGCTCCCCAGAACTGGAACCCCCACTCCCATGGCTGCCAAGGGAAGTGACGCCTGCTCTTGGCTGCAAAGGCTGAGAACTGTGACACGTTCCCCACTGGGTTGAGCTCTGCGTGTGGACTGAAGGCTGGTCGCCCAGCCAGCCTGCTATCTTTGTTTTGTGTATTAAAAGTGTTGCAAAATCTGTCTCGCCTCCCAGAAGGCCTTGTGTCTGAGGTAGGCAGGGAGGGGCAAGGGTGCATTTGACAGACTCGGGGCTCTGGCTTTAAGGAACAAACTCCAAAGAGCCACGCATAAACAAGGGTGTGATCAGGAGCCGAGGGGGACTAGGTGCCCACTGTCAGCAGTGTCCTCACAGACGACCACAGCACCGAGGAGATGGGTGTAAGCCTAGATGCCCACTGCCAATGGGCAGGGGCCACTCTGGAGTTCCAGACCTCTGGCTTCTGCACCCTGCAGTGCAGGTAAAACACCTTGGAATTGGCATGTGCTGCTCGGTTCCAGGGAATGGGTCATGAATGTAATTAAACTTTCTAGAAAGAACATCCTCCCAGGCCATGGTTTTCCTCCCTTAGAGGAAATGGGGAAATCTCTCAGTGGGGGTTTTTTTGGGAGTTAGCACCCACCACACGCCAGGGGTGTGTGCATCCCATCATTTCGGCTCTTCCAACCTGAGCAGCCACGTGACAGGGAGGGGTTAAAACCACAACCTAGCAGATGCGTTCTGTGTTAAGTCAGCCGCAAGGCCCACGGAGCCCTCCTGCTGCTGCTCCCCACAAACCATCATCTCAGACTGTTACTCACGCTTTAGCCCAGCCCGTGCTGAGAGCTGATGTGCTTTAGGTTAATCCTGAGCCCTCTTTTCCTAATTCCATGCTCCTCCTAGCACCCTAAGTTTAGACTTCCAGCCTCAGAAACGACAGAGTTGCTCTGCACTGGGCGAGCCCGGCAGTGGGCTTCGGGTGAATCCCAGTCATTCCAGCCCAGTCCAGTCTTGAGAGCTCCAGGACCCTCTGCACTGTCTTTGGCTGCCCTTTCTTATTTCTAGGTTAGCGCAGCATTTCAAACTCCTAAAACCAAGCGCATGCTTAAAGTCCCCTCTCCTCCGTGACCTCCGACAGCCACGTTCTGTTTTCTGTCCGTAAGGAGCCTTACTATCGATTCTACTCAGCCAAACCCTGACCCCTTCCCCCTCCTTTTACTTGAAACTTGTGCTGCGGAAGATCAAAGAGTGCAGCCTTCAATGCGGACTGGATGAGTCATACCGGACGGCACCTAACGTGACCTCTCAAGTGAAATCCCTCACCTTTAATCTGCACTCCAAGGTATTTCCATCCAAGTGTGCTGAGCTACACTGATGTTCCCACCTAGCCCTCAAATCAGTCGTGTCTGCATGTCAGGCCCCTCTGTCCAAACTCAGGTAACAGAAGGGGGCAGCCCTGTGGAGGGAGACTGGACTCCACAATCCACATCCGCTCGGAAGGCCCGGCTCCAAGAACTGAGAGTTTGGACTTTGGGAGTAAAGCAGTTAATAGCTGAAGGATGGATTTAAGTTGTCAAGCCTAGAGCTGAGAGAAAGCACAAATGAAAGCAGACTTTCATGTAGAAGAAAAACGTTTAATGCAATAGCTTAAACACAGAATTCAACAAAATTAAAGTCGGTTCAAAATAACGTTACAAAGAACTAGAAAGCCTGGAGAGGGCAAGGAACCTCAGGGCAGCCTGCTCTCCTTTCCCAGCTCCAGGGGACGCAGCTGCGACCACCGGGCTCTTGAACAGCTTGGTCACCTCCCCACAGGAGGTAGCAGCACAGAGGGTCGAAAACAAAACCGTCCAGGGCTAAGGCTCTGCACACCCATCGAATGAGGGCCCAGACAAAAGGCACTGGGGTTCAGAACACAGGGACCGAGGGCAGGGGAAGGGACACAGCCCTGGAGGACCAGCTCAACAGGCAGCTCTGGAAGTGGTGGGCCAGGGACCACTAGCATGTCCCTTGTCTCGAACCTGCACTCGTGCTCAGGAGCCAGAGCATGCTGGGGCGAGGGCAGAGCCAGGGGACCTCTGTGACCCGCTAGCTGCTGAGGTAGGAGGGGGCGAGCAACAGGGCATGGACCTCACACTTCAGCTCTAGAACCAGCAGACGACACGGAGCTTAGAGTAAGCAAAGCCTCTTAGGGGAGAGAAGAGAGTGCTGAGAGCTCGCGCTGAGGCATGCTGGGTCTTGGGAACAGGCACAGAGGAAGGAGACCCCTGGCTTCTCTGGGTACGGTCAGGCAGAGATTTCCTGCTGCCCTTTGATGGGGGTTTATTTTAAGCTCTGGTTAACTTCCTTCTGCAGCTTCTGTGCAGGACCATTCTTGGGCTCAATTTGCAGGAGGCTGCTGATGTCCGCCAGGCTGGATTTATAGTCCTAACAGAAGAGAGAAGGGTGTGAGGGGTGTACCCTGACTTCGCGTGTGGGGGACAGCGGCTGTAGGCTGGCCCTGGCAACCCTCACTTGAGCCATACAACACACCCCCCCTTATACAACAGTGCTCGGGTATCTCTTACCTTGAGTGCCTTGTAAGCCTGAGCCCGTCTGTAAAACGCCTTCACGTTCTTTCCGTCTAGCTTCAGCGCATCTGTGCAATCCTTCACTGCTTCCTTGTACTGCTTCAGGGTCAGATAGCAGAGCGCTCTGATGGGGACAGAGCAGCTTAGGTGGCAGTCACTTCTCGGGCCACCCACAAGCCACAGAGGAGCTGGACAGTGGCCCCAGCTTTGCTGCTTTCTACATTCAAGCCTTCTAACAACTCCAGCCATGTCTTAGAATTAAATGCTGGCTCAGAGGAAGGGGTAGCAGGATGAACGCACCACCACTTGGATTGAAACCCACTCTGTGTGTGTATCCTGATGTCATTTGGGTCTATCATCATTCTGTTTTACTCTCACGTGTATTCTTTTAAGCAAAGAAAATGCTTCTTGCAGCCTTCCCCTTAACAGATTAAAAAATTATCTGCCTAAAAGAAACCCATAAGCAAATACTGAACTCGTCTGCGATGCACACATGGGCATATTCAGAAGTGAAAGGTAAAGATTATCTGCATCTTATTTTGAAATAGAAAGTACCAAGAGAACTCAAGTAAGCCCAACCGTGCACTTCTATGTATGTGCGAGACTGAGCGTCAGAAGAGGCCAGAGTGTGGTAGGATTTCAACCACACTGGGTGTTGTATAGTTATTCTTGAAATTATATTTATAAATTCAATAAAATCACAACAAAAAGCCCCACACAGTATCTTCTGGAACTTATTAAAATGAACCCAAGGCTTAGTCAGAAGAGGAAGCATGGTAAAATAACCAAGGATCTCCTAAACAGGAGAGGAGGAAAAGACCAACTCTAAAGATATTATACAGCCATAATAATTAAAACAGTACAGCATAGACAAATGTGCGTGAAGCACAGTATCCAGAAAGAAAACAGGGCCTGTGTCTGTAAGAATCCAGACAACTGAGGAGTTAGATGATACCATATAAAGATGAACAAGTAATTTCAAGTTCACCTGGTAGATTGTGGCGTCCCTAGGCCAAGCAGCCAGTTTAACTACAGATCAAAATTCCTTAGTAGAAACGTAAAAAAAAGCAAAGTTTAATTCATCCGGCAGCAATAGGCTAACCTAAACATCATGAGGTCACAGTCTTCACCCTACTTTCCTAAATGTGAAATGTCCTGGTTTCCCTGCAGAAACACTACCATTTGATTTCACTTAGCTGTCCGAGATCCTGCCATGTGTAATGTAATTCAGTATAATGGACCATATTACCTTCCATAAATCTCAGTATTCTGAAACACATTTTATCCCAAGAGTTTTAGATGAAGAATGGTGAACTGTATCAGATGCAAGAATTCTGAGCTAGAGAGCAATATGTGTATAAGTGGCAGAGAAAGAGAAACAGATTTATAGCATTTTAAAATAAATGTTTTATAACGGATCTGGTATGGTTCCTGGCTTAATGTGTCATGCTGCTTTAACAGAAATAAGGGTAGAAAAATCTCTGAGATAAAGAGCCAGTTCTAGCTCCACCATCTGCTGGCTGGGTGAACTCAGGTAATTCCTTCCCTTTGAGCCTCAGTTTCCTCTAACTCAACCTGCCGCCCACACCCCTGAAGGTTGGTGGTGATTACCACACAGTTAAAGCGATCACACTCTGACTCTCAAGACCCCAGTTGAGGGACTGAGCAGTAACAGCAGCGCCAGAATGGGGCCTTTTACAGTCCCCTAGGCTAACCCCTCAGCCTGACTGGTCACTTCTCTCTTAAGCCCAGCCAGCAACAATTACTCCACTCCCAGGTTCCAGGCCAGTTTCTAACAGGACGTCCTGGGAGGCCTATGACTTGAGGATCAGAAGGTGGACAGGCTAGGAGCTGAGGTCTGAGGGTATGTCTACATCACAAGTCAGCTTTTATTTATACTGTTGGTTATTTGAAAATTCTGGACATCAAGGGAAGAGAGGGGCATCTAAGCCCCAAAGTACCTCTTAGCATCCCTCAGTTTCTCTACCTTTAAGAGAGCACGACCATCACTGTGACTGACAGGTGAGAATGCCTATTCTGACTTGTAACTCCATAGAGGGTAGACAGGAATGAAGAGCCTGCCACAGTCCGAGTGGACACTATGGGGCAAAGCCCTCGATGCCCTGCCACCCCCCAGGCCGGCCGAGCAGATGGTACCTGTTGGTATAGGTGGCAGACTCCAGGTTACTACACGAGAGGCTCTCACTGTACTTCTCAATGGCTTTCTTGTGGTTCCCCTTCTTTACATACTCGTTGCCTTCTTCCTTCAGAAGCTTGGCTCTCTCCTCATCGCCAGCACAAGGCACTAAATGGAAATGCAAAGAAAGAGGGTGGAGAGGTAACCGACCGTGGGACAGGTACCAGGTGAGAGCAATGGGAGTCTCTTCAGGACCATCTCTTCCAAGTTGTCTCCAGACCTCTTTTTCCCGGGGTCTTGCTATACAGTAAAGCATCTTCCTGAATAATGATTTCCTCCTAATTGATGGCTTCTGGGAAATGATAAGTTTCTCAGAGAGGTCTGGAAATCCCGATAAAACCTTTTTCTTACATTTACAAAGAACAGTCCATAAGAGGGAAGAAGCAACTCAGGTTCTGCTCTGGCATTGCCCAGCACTATCTTGTGCGGATAATCTAACTCTCTCTCAGCCTTTGAGTTCCTCCCCAATAGAGGGGGGACAACATCTAGTGCACACAAGGCTATTTTCTGGACCAAATCTGAGCGTGTACAAGGAAGCACCACCACCATGCGATTAAAGCAGCTGAGTAAGTGCTAATACACAAGCCACCCCAGTGCCACTGCGTTGGTTCTGACTCATGGTGACTCCTTTCTGAGGCTGGCAATGGCTGGTGGCTGCACACAACACGAAGGGTCAGGAAGAAGATCTGGCTCGCTCCCATGAAGCTCAGAATTCTACCACGAATGCTCCCAACCAGGGAAAAGTGAGGGATACTAGGCTCCGACAAACCTGAGTGCTACCATCCACGGCCACACAGGAAGGGAAGGAGAGACTTCTGCCTTCCCTTACCTCTCAGGTTATTTACAGGCCACCAGCTCTGCTCTCTCTGCCCCCATCCCTCCCTGTCCTTGAGACCTAGAACATGCGGGGTTGAGACTCCTGCCTGGGTGGCTCTGGGAGTTTCTGAGTGAGCTCCTGCCTCCAGGAGGATCCTCTTCGATCCATCTTACACAGTCAGGTGGGCGGCCTCCCGTGCGGCTCTCCAGCTTGGATCTCCCTTTCACTCATCCTCTCCCAGGTGCTCACCTCACCTCAGACCCTGCATGTGCTCTGGGGAAGCCCTGCCCTGGAGTCACAGGGGTGGAGCAGGTGGCTTAGGGTGGAGCTAATCACACAATCTCATCCCCTGGTCACAGTGACTGAGTCAGAGAATAACCTGACCAAGTGGCAGCAGCGCAACTCACTGTCGTCAAGCTGGAACTGATGCACAGCTGACCCTCCAGCAGCTTTCCAGAGGCTGTAAGTCTCATGGGACGAGTCTGCTCAGCTTTTCCCTACGGAGCAGCTGGTGGAGCCAAACCGCTTATCTTTGAGTTCTCAGTGCACCCCCTTAACCATGAGGTCACCAGAGCTCCCTGTGTGACCAAGTGCAAGCTGGAGAAATTGAGAAAACACGTGACTATGGACTCTGCGGAAAATAATCTTCTTCCCTGGGAAGTATCTGAAAAGCCTTTCTCCCTTCCTTCTCCATGTCATGAGAAGCGTATAGACGTGAGGCCAAGAATTGCTATAGCTATTTTACTACTAGGCGAGACAACAGAGAGCCGAGAAGTACAGAAAAAGGGAGTAGACCCTGAAGATGCAGTGAAATGCTAGACTGAACCTTGCCTGAAGCAGAAGGAATCTCTGGGCTTACTCAGTTGCATTATTTCTACTACATTGAGTTTTCTGTCCTTGGAACCAAAAACATTTAAAGTGATAGATCCGTCTGCTGCCAGAGGAAAGAGGGAACTAACACTGACAGATACTTAGGTGCCAGGCTGGGAGTCTTCCGTGCTTTAGAACATTTCACCTTTACTGCTTCCCAGGTTTTACCATCATCGTCATAGTACAGCTAAGGATTGTGTCTGTAAGAGGTAAAGGCTCTTTGTTGTTGTTTTACTTTAAGATTACTTCTACAATTCGGCCTGAACAAGGACCGTGCTAAGAAGCTGTGCTGCAATCCCAAAGACACACAGTTTAAATCCATCAGCTGCTCTGTGGGAGAAGGATGGGCAACCTCTTCCTGTACAATTAACTGCCCCTCAAAACCTGCCGGGCGTCGGTCGGCTGTGGGTCGGTTCTGACTTGACAGTACACCACCACCACCACAACAACTCTAAAGAAAGTGGTCACAGGGAGATGGCAGAAACCCTCTGGAGCAGAGTCCCGGTTTACCTTTGTTCTTTGCTGTTGGGGTTTCTTTGGGCTTGCTTTTAGCAGACTCTTTGTGGTTCTCGGAAGGTTTGGAAGCCCATCTCTTCTGAGCTGAAACAGGCACCAAGGGGGTAGGAGGCAGCTTCTGACGCCAGTTGGGCCCAAGTGAGTCCATGAGGACTCTGGTCATTCTGGAAAGGAAGGCCAGATTGCAGGTAGGTGACCACCAGGGCCCAGAAGATGCCTCCCTCATACTCCTGAGGGAGGCAGGCTCTTCCAGCGAAGCCAGAGGGCTCCCCCTCCTCCTGGTCCAAACCATTTCCGTCCAACCTCCTTCACGCTGCAGCAAGGGACTGAGGCAGCCACTAGGACAACAGGACCCTGCGTTCCCTTGAGCGTGCTCACACTCTGTTCAATTCTACGTGGGGATCTTGTGTTCTTTATAAGTACATAAACTCTGCCCCCAGACGACCACACATCTCCCAAGAAAGGATCACGTAATTTAGTTATTGTGTATGTTCTCAATAGATTAGTACAAAGCCATGCAAGCATCTGGCATTTGATACTCTTTTTTTTTTTTTAAAAATTCAGATTGTATCCTATCACTAGCAAGTCCTAAGTCTTTCAGGGGTTCTTACTTCCCCCCTGCACCTCCACTGTTTTTTCTTCTATGTTTCCCATCCCCTATTCACACCTAGATCTAAGTCCTACTCATTCTTTAGGTCTGGGTTAACAATAGTTGTCCCTGTGTTGTTAACACGCTGCTGCACACTTTTAAATTGACGGTGGTGCCTAGAAACACATTTGCGGCAACGTGTTAATTAAACTCAGGGATTAGGGGGTCATTTGCACCCTGGGAACCTAACCCTGCTCCTCAATCACATCCCTGTATGTTTCTAGAATGAAACTAAATTCATGGGCTCCCAAAGATGTTTTCATAGATGGCCCACCGACTGCAAACTTTCACTTTTTCCAAACGTGTTCCACTATTCATCACCTTTGTCAAAGCATACTTCCTCAAACCCTAAGTATAAACTTACCTGTAAGAAAGGCTCCCATCCCTTCCTATTTCTCACCTGTCAGAAGAGGACAGACAACTGAAGCCAGTCCCTCCACCTAGGATCCGGATCCATCTGTCTCTCAGGTTCTCACCAGCATCACCTGCTCCGAGTACCAGCTCCACCCATCAGCCCAAACTGACCATCCAACCCCTCTTTCTTAACCAAATGAAACCTTTCCTTTTTGGACACCCTTCTGCTCCCTTAGTTACACTCCCCTGCCGCCCTGCATAGCAAGACTTCTTGGATCCTCTGTGAAGCCACTAGGTGAGCTAAACTCATTGTAACACCCGGCACTGAAGAGCCTCATCTCTCCGTGAACACTCCCTTCCCTGCGGCAGTAAATGCTCCACGTGCTCCCTACAGCTCTGGCTGCCCTCCTCCTTCCTCAGCTTCTTCCTCTGTAAGCCTCTGGACTTTCTCAAAGTTCCATTCTCTTCCCATTAAGCATTGCTGTGGTGTTCTTTTCCTCTCCCACAGCCTCTAGTAGCCACCTCTATTCTCCAAATGGAATTGTATTTTTCGCCTTCATTTTCCCATTGACTTTATTACATCTCGACTCTCATGTCTCAGTCACTTCCAACTCAGCTATCAACCTGGAGAGCCTCCCTTCCTAGCAAACCTAACGACTAAAGGCTGTCCACGTATTTCCTTAATATGCCTTGAACTGGCCCCTCTGTTCTCTCCCTCTCTTCTCTCTCATTACTGCACTGCTCCACTTCTCTCTACAAATTCCTGTTGTCTCTTCATGCCGTCTCTCAATATGGCGGCCAATAGGAATGAGATTTTCTTTACGAGACAAACTTGCTCATATTATTCAACAGCTGAAGAGCCTTTCCTAATCCTTTCCTAACGCTTCAACAAATATTACCATGTTTATCTTTTTAGCTCCTAATCAACACACACACACACACACACACACACACACACATTGTTCTTTGCACAACAGCACCACCAACCACTTTTGCTGAGATTCATTTATCAGAAAGCCAAAATGCTCATGTGAAAGTTATTACAATAGTTGTGGTAACTCTTCAGGACAACAGTCATTGTCACAACACTTGAGCTAACCACAGGAGCACCACAGACACAAGTTATGTCCTGTGTGTATATATGCACATATACACGTTTCAGCAACCCTTACCTCTCAGTTACCTAAAAGCAGACTTCTTTCGTGCATCTCCCCCACATACTTATGCCTTTTCTACGCTTAGTTTAAAAGTGCGCTCCCACAAGGCATCCTAAGTGCCTGAAGCCCCAAGTCAGGGAGGCCAAGGAGTGTCTATGGAGACTGCCTGCAGTGAGCGGGGCTTACCTGTTGATGCCTTCCAGGGCTGACGTCATACTCTTATCGATCTGCAGCACAGTCATATAGTCGACATAGGCCTGTTGGTACTTCTCCAAAGCCTCATAGGCAGCTGCCCGTCGTAGCAGGGGCTTAACGCTGAAGGGAACCAGGTCCAGTGCCCTGGAATGGGAAGCAAGAGTGTCATCTGGCCGCTGGGCCGCAGCAGCTCCTTCCAGGCAGGGCCCCGCAGCACTTGGCATACCTGACTGAGAGATCACTATGTATGTTAAACCTTCTAACAGGGAATTTCCATTGAGATTAAAGCAGGAATGGGGAAGAGGCCAGAGAACTACTAACACTGTGAACACCTGAGGGCATGTGCACCAATTTCCCCAGTCTCAATCCCTTCAAATCTGAGAGCAAATGCTTCAAAATTTTCTCCATGTTACTATGTGTTTCTACAGGACTGGTGAGAAAAATGGGTCTTGGAATCATATAAAATGAAATAAAATGATATTTGAATTCTACCTTTACTAGTAATTGTGACCTCAGCAAATCAACTTTACTGTCCCAACCTTTAGCTTCACATCCTCTGTAAGGGAAGGGGACAATACACTTAACCCATAGAGTGGTTGTGAGTCCACCAGCAAACACATGTAGCTCTGGGGCTGGTACAGAACCACCTAGCCTGGTCTCTAACTGAGACGAGCATGCTAACTTCTCTCCTTGCTTATCACCAGAGTAAGCATCTGAGGCAACGTCACAGGGACACCAGAGTTGGGAGCACATTTATGGTATATATACAAGTTTAAAGGCGCCCTGGTAGCACCACAGGTTAAGAGTTGAGCTGCTATCTAAGATGTCACTAGTTCAAACCCACTGGATGTTCTGCAAGAGAAAGAAAACAGTCTACTCTTCTTAAGATTTAGAGCATCAGAATCCTACAGTTCTACTCTGTCCTACAGGATCACGACAAGTTGAGGTTGGCTCTATGGTAGAAGGGGCTTTTATGGTACAACTTAAGTGATGACTGGTAAAGGCAATAAGAAAAAAAAAGGCTTAGGGAAGGAAGATTTTTTTTTCTTTTTCCCCTGGTGAGAAAAAACATGTATTTATAATTAGCTAGCTGGACTCATTTTAGATGTTTTACAAACACACATACACACCCAAGAGAATACCAGGGCAAACCAGTAACTGGTCTGGAACTCCACCTCATCCCTGCACCCACAGACCAAACAGGGGCTCCCAATCTCAGTAACTTGGGAAATGACAATCCCAGTATTCGTCACCAATCTAATTGGTAGGATCAGTCCAGAAAAGAAATAAGCCGATCAAACCAGCCTCCGCAGCCGAACCTCAGGGACCCAGAAAGTTCCCTGGGTGCTTACGAAGTGCAGTCTTTGATGCAGTCTGAGCAGTTTCCGTTCTTCAAGTGACACGCCGCTCGGTTGGAGTAGAGAACACTTTCTTCTTCAGGGTTTGGAGAGCCTGACTTGGTGGAACCTGAAAGAGCAAGATGATGAGATCGAGCAGTAAGCGCCCTGGACATTGCACAGTACGTCCCACCCCAACGCTCTGGGCTCTGATGCAAGACAGCCAAGATGACGGTGAACACAGCAGGCCTGTCGGTCTGATGAACAGGCACGTTTGTCGCTCCTACAGGAGTGAGGACTGTGAACTTTGTGCTGTTCACAAGGGGACTAAGTGTCTTCTCAATTACTCGCTCACCAAGGAACTTAGTACACTAGGGCCAAAGACAAATATAGAGCAATAACATCTGATAAGGAACTCCTATCTAAAACTTCCAGACTACACCAGCGCCTAAACAAGAAAAAGTCAAACAACTCAATCATAAAACAGGCAGGAGGTATGAACAGACATGACCCAAGAAGAAAGTGAGATGGCCAACAAACACATGAAGAAATGTTCAAAATCCCTAGCTATTAGAAAGATACAAATCAAAGCAATAAGTTATCATCTTACCCCAACATCAACAGCAAAATTCAAGAAGACAGGGAACTCTGGTGGCCTAGTGGCAAGAAGCTGCACTGCAATCCCAAAGGCGTTTGGTTAGAAGCCACCAGATTCTCTGTTGGAGGAGGGGCAATCTCCTCCTGTGCCAGTCAGATCTGATTCAATGGCACAAAACAAGTAAACAAAAATTCAACAAGACAGAAGACAAATGCTAGTGAGGATGTGGAGAGATTAGAACTCTCAAACACTGCTGGTAGGAATGTAAAATGGCACCAGCACTTCCTCAAAAAGTTGGCAACACATACCATTTAACCCTGCTATCCCACTACTGGGAATATATCCTAAAGAAACCAGAGCTGTGACACAAACAGTTATATGCACACCTGTGGTTACTGAAACATTATTCACAACAGCGAAGAGACAGAAGTAGCCCAAATGCCTATCGACAAATTAGTGAGGGGAGAGAGAGAGAAAAAAAGGTACATTTACACAATGGAATGCTATGCAGCACTAAAAAAGAATGAGCTTGTAAAACATGACACAGCATGGATGAAATCTGGAAGATATGCTGAGTGAAGTATCTCAGTCGCAAAAGGACAAATAATGCATAAGACCGCTGTTACAAAATTAGGACGTACACGAGGGTTAGGGTAGCAGGAACAGAATGGAGAGATAATGAACACTACACTGTAATAAGGGAGCTCTGGTTGTTTAGGGTAAGGAATTGCACTGCCAATCCAGAGGTACAAGGTTTGAATCCAATAGCTGCCCTGCTGAGAAAAATGGGCAATCTCTTCCTGTGCCACTTACTACCTCTGAAAACTCACTGGAGGCTCAGCTATGAGTGGGTTCCAACCTGACAATGGTCAACAACAGTGGAAGGAGGTGGAGGGCAGGACTATCTGAAAAGAGAGGATGATGAGACATTTTATGGAGGGTAAATTAACAATCTGGAGCAAGACATACATTACAAAGTGAAAGACGGGAGGGAGGAACATACGTATCAATGAATGAATGAAAACCCATCTTGTCTGTAAACTTTCACTAAAATCCCAAATAAAAAACATTTCCTAAGTGGTATGTTGCCTACCTTTCTGCAGCTTGCCTTTTTCACTATCACGCTATCATGTTATTTCATTCAGAAACAAATGTAATAGATTAAGGATGAATGTTTTTTCATTCATTTTACCAGCTCCTGAACACATGGAGTTAAGGAGTGACAATCTGCTTCACAACTGGTTTTGCTTTGTTTTACTGAGACATCACAACAGAGGCACAAGCACAAGAACCCCAAGTTGGAATCCATCCCAAGTCACCAGCGGAGGGTTGCTAAGTAGTTACAGGTGGCAGAAAGGGCATCAGGACCTGAAACCCAGCCTGTAATCCTACACTAACCTGCGCAGGATCGCCGCCTGTGCTCAAGATACACTGAGGAGACACTTCCCACACTTGATGGCAGGGTTCTTTCTGCTCTGCTGTCAAGTTCAGGAAAATCATTGGAGGAATCAAGGAAAGTGTTCACCACTTGCCAAGAAAACTAGTTACTGGACAAGAAGCAAACTCTGACCCGCCCTGAAAAATCTCGACACCACGCTAGCTCTTTTAGGGACCAAGAAGAAAGTTATACAAATGGCTTTGCTTTTCTGGGTATGCTTCCAGAGCCGGGGTGAGGGAAAAGAAAACAGAGTAATTCAACTGCAACTCATTGCTGTGGAGTCAGAACTGACACGGGGCTGAACCTCCTGCGAGTTTGCAGAAGCTCTAAGTAACACGGAAGGAGACTGCTCATCTTTCTCCCTCTGAGCAGCAGCTGGATTCGAACCCTTTGTTTAGGAGTTAGCAGTGCAAATCCTTACCCACACCTCCTATTCCTCACTGACTTTATAGAGTGGGGTGGGCCTTAGGGGGGAGTGTTCTAGAGGAAAAAGGGCGGGGAGGGTAAGGGCAGAATTAAAATGGTCAAAGTTCAAACTCCAAGACAGCCATCTAGACAGGAATTGGGGAGCAGGCAAGCAAAATCCTCAAGACGTTGGATTTGAGGGCGCTCTGGTGGCCTATTGGCAAGAAGCTGCACTGCAATTCTAGAGGTGAGTGGTTCGAATCCACCAGATGCTCTGCTGGAGAAGGAGGGACAATCTCCTCCTGTACCAGTCAGATCTGATGTGACGTTACACACACAAATAATAATAATAAAAATTTAAAAAAAACAACCAAAAAAAGGTGTTGGATTTGGGGATCTGACAGATCCATATTCAGACCTTAGCCTTACATAGTTACTACGCAATGCAAGGCAGATATTTTAACTCTTCTGGATTTGTAAAGCGAGTTATCAAAAAAGGGCCACGCAGCACACAGGAGTCATTTAACAAATGTTCAATTAATTAAAGAGAAAAAAACCCCAACTTGACAGTGAAAGTTGAGCCATAATCTCAAGATTGAGAATGGGAGGCCTGAGTAACTGGGGAGCGCGGAGGATAAGGGGGGTTAGAAGCGGGCAGGAGGAGGGGATCAAGGAAGCTTCTCCAAGCGGGCAGAGTCAGGGACCGGGGCGGGTCCGAGGTGAGGGTTCGCGAGGAGAGGCGCGGCGCGGAGTCCGCTGCGAGGTCCAGGGCGGAGGACGCGGGCCCAGCGGAGAAGCGGCGCCGGCCAGGGCCGCGGGGCTGGGGTCGTATACCTGCCGCCTGCAGCAGCCGCAGCGCGCGGCCATAGAGCGTGGAGGCCTCGGAGTACTGGCCGTTGCGGAAGCTCTGGTTGCCGGCGGCGCGGAGCCCCTCCACGGAGTCGCTGGACTTGGGGGCCATTCCGGGAAGAGCCGGCGAGCAGGGCGGGAGGGACGCGCGGCGGCGCCGTTCACCCGGCGCGTCCGTACGGCGTCCGGGCGGAAACAGCCCCTACGAGCGCTGCTTGTATCCGCCGAGCTCACCAACCCGAAGCGGCCGGGGCGGGGGCGAGGCGGGCAGGGGGCGGGGCCTGCGCTTCCCGCCCCGCCTCCTGCGCGTGATTGGCTCAGAATTTAGCAAAGCTGCGTGAGAGAGGCGTCTGGGTCCTTAAGCTGGGAACGTTAGGGTGTAAAAGCCCTACCGTAAGTGGAGCCGTGGAAAACACCTGCTGCTGCTCTCATGGAATTTACATTCTAGGAAAACCTGATAAGCAATTAGCTCAGGAACAAATGAATGTGATCATTTCATAATAGGATCTCTCCCTTCTCTTTAACAAGAGGAAACAGTCCACTGCCAGCGGAGTTGATTCCTACTCATAGCGATGCTCCCTGGCGTTTCCCAAGCAGGAAGTCTTTATGGAGAAAACTGCCCATTTCTCCTTCTTCACCCCTACCCCCAGAGCGGCTGTTAAGTTTGAAACACCCACCTCTAGATTGGCAACCTAACTATAAAGCATCACAGCCAACACCGGTCCTTATGTTCCTTATGTACCATGTTGTTGTGTGCTGAGGGATCATTTAGAACCGACCCATAGCTGATTCTCTGCTGGTGAGTTTCCAGGAGCAATAAATCATGTGAGAAGAGACTTCCTATCTTAAGAGGAGCAGATGGTGGGTTTGAACCCTGTGTTTTCGGGTTAGGTGAGCAGCCCCTTACCACTATGGCGCCAGGGCTCCCTATAATGTGATTCATGCTGTAAAAAACGTATTGCCAGTCAAGTCAAATTCCAATTAATAGCGTTCCTGTGGGACAGAGTAGAATTGAGCTATTGGATTTCTAATGCTGCCAGTCTTCAGGAAAATAATTTGCAGAGGGGTCGTGAGTTGGGTTTGGACCACTGAACTTTTGGTTACAGTAACTTAACCACTGTTTGCCATTTGGGCTCCTTGACTAGGGCTTTAAGAAGACAAAGTAGGGTAAGCCAGTACAAAGTAACCACGAGGCTGCATTTTAGGCAGATAGAAGATGGCTTTTCCAGGAGGGACTGATAAGTGAGCTTAAAACTAAAGTTCTAGGGAAGGCTGTTGCACTCAGAGGAGAAAGCAGATGCAAAGGCCCAAGGCATCTTATACTCCATTGCTGTTGTTGTTAGGTGCCGATAGCAACTCTGTGAGTGTCAGATGTGAATCCTGCCTTTGCCTGTGCCATCCTCATCATCTCTGCCTCACTGGAGCTCATTGTAACAGTCACTGTATCAATCTATCTAATTGAGGGTCTTCTACTCTTTTGCTGATCAGAAGAAGAATGGATGCCTTTGAGTGTGCTACTGGAGAAGAACACTGAACATACCATGGATTGCCAAAAGAACAAACAGGTCTGTCCTGGAGAGGATGAAATCAAGTTGCTCCTTGTTGTTGTTGAATGTCTTTGAGTCAAACATGACTCATAGCAACCCTATGGACAAGAGGCAGGAATTTTGCAGCTCTTTCTCACATACTTTGAGCATGTTGCCAAGAGGGACTAGTTCTTGAAGAAGGATATCATGCTTGGAAAGGTGGAGGAACAATGCGGGAGAGGAAGATCAGAGACAAGATGGATTGACACAGTCACTAGGGTAATTGTGGGTATGTAGGTTGGAGATGGTGAAATTGGCTCAAGATAAGTCAAGGTTCAGGGCTATTCTTCATAGGATTGCTACGAATTGCGGTTGACTCAACATACCTAACATAGCAATTAGGTGCTTATGGGGATGGCTTACTGATGAAAGAGAGCTATGGGGTGGAATAAGCCTTTCCCCCCCCCCTTTTTTTTTAACCTGTATTTCTACTTTGAATAGTAGTCAGTTATTTGATACCTGGAGGTGTGTGGTAGCCATTTCACAACTGTGAGGCAACAAATGCAAGCCTGACAAGTCAAGCTGCTGAGTAGGATGGGCATGGAATTATGAAATTAACATTGTTGAGCTACTGAATCAATCCTTGATCTACTGACTTATGGATTTACTACTAAACAACAAATGGCATGGTGCCTTATGTTGCCATTTACATGTTGTCAATTACTCACACCTGAATATAATCTAATTCATATGCCAGACAAGTACACCTGGGGCAAATTGTAGTTTTGAAAAATAGCAACAATACTATTTCTAGTCCCACATGCTTTTCCAGAACCTTACTGATGCCTCATCAAGAAATGGAAGCTGTATTTTTTTCTCATTGAAAATGGATAGCCTTAGAGGTCCCCTCAACAGGGGGAGCTCTATAACCTCTAAAGTTAGAGCATTAGTATGCACTACAGCCTCTGAACACATCCAGGCTGCATTTGTTAGTTCAAACATGTTAACTGGCATTCCATCGATTCCTGGGGCCTCATATTTTTGCGGATGCAGTGCAGTTGAATGTCATTCTTCATAACCATTGGCTCTTGTTCATATGGTACTTCCTAACATTTTTCAGTGTCAACTAATTCTTTTTTTGGTAGGGCAATTCTGTGTTTTCCTTCCATCTTGACTCCACAGCACATAAAAAAGAGTAACAACACTGTTATGTTTCAGTCTGACTCAAAATCAAGGCTGCTGAGAGAAAATATGGAAATTTGTAGATGTGTGTTCTGTGACATCCAAAGGAAGGTCGGACGGTTGAGCTTCCTTCCATCAGACAGCATTCAGCTGGCTAACATTTCTCCTGGAGAAATGACATGGTTTTCCCATAAATTCCAGTAGCAGTGGCAAAGTTTAACAAGACAGCAAGTAATAAATGTTGGAGAGGATGTGGTGAGATAGGAAATCTTATACATCATTGGTGGATTGTAACATGGGACAACTATTTTGTAAGGCAGTTTGGTGCTTCCTCAAAAACTGAAAAAAGGGGAGCTCTGGTGGCCTAGTGGCAAGAAACTGCGCTGCAATCCCAGAGGAACACAGTTCGAATCCACCAGACGCTCTGCCGGAGAAGGAGGCGCAATATCCTCCTGTACCAGTCAGATCTGATTTGACGGTACATGCACACACACAAAAAACAAAACAAAACAAAACAAAAAAACTGAAAAAAGCAGAACATAGAAATTCTGCATGATCCAGCTATTCCCATTGCTTGGAATATACCCCAAGAGAATGAGAACTGAGGCTCAAATGGAGACATTTACACCAATGTTCATAGCACCATCGCAAGGACATGAACAGCCCAGATGTCTATAAATGAATGGATTGAGAAGTTGTGGTACCGTCATACAATAGAATACTATGCAGCACACAGGAGCAATGATTTTGTAAATCACTACTTAACTTGGGAGGGACTGGACAGCATTATGCTGAATGAACTCAGTCCCCACAAGAACAAATACTGTATAAAACCGTTATTGTAGAATAAGTATGAGGATACATGGGGGGTAGGGCGGAAGAAGAGGGGCGAGGATGGGGTGTGCTGTTAAGAATAGGGTTGCAGAATTCGATGAGGGGCGATGAAGGAAATGGGCAGGATCTTTTGTGAAAAAAGAATCAACAGACTTTAAGACAGAGATTTGAAAACAATGGAGGGCCAGAACCGAAATAGAAATGGGTTCTGGAAATAGAGGATCGCAAGAAGATTCACTGCAATCCTAGAGGTGCGCGGTTCGAATTCACCAGAGGCTTTGCTGGAAAAGGAGAAACAATCTTCTGTACCAGTCAGATCTGATTTGATGGTACACACACAAAAAAATAATAGAATTTAAACAAACAAACAAAAAAGACCTTAACAAGACAGCGATTTGAAAACAATGGAGGGCCAGAACTGGAATAGAAATGGGTTCTGGAAATAGAGGCTCGAAAGCCTCCGGCTACAGGCGATGCTAGAAGGTGTCCTCACTGACAACTAGGAAGAGATGCCCATGCCAGGCGGGTTCGCTCGCGCTTTGACAGGTACGTTATGCAGAGCCCGCACCACGTGACCTGGGCTCGCTTTGCGCCGCCCCCGGAAGGCTCCACCCCTAACAGACCACGCCTTTTCCTGTAGGGGCGGAAAGCGGAAGTGTGGGAGGGCCTGCGGGGCGGGCTTGGGGAGGTCCTGGGGGAGGATGGATCGGTGATCGGGTACCGGCCGCTGGCGACAGCGCCATGGAGACGGTGCAGCTGAGGAACCCGCCGCGCCGGTAAGGGGACGCTGTATGGAGGGAGACTGCCAGAGGGGGCTCGGAGGAAGGCAGGAGCTGGGGGCGGGGTGATCACTATGGGGGATCCCCGAGAAAGAAGGGAGCTGCGGGGCGGGGCGACATGCCTGCTGGGCACACTGGCCGAGTAAGATCTCTGCGAAGTGGGGATTCAGCTGAAGGAAGTACCCATTGAGGGGAGTAAACCAGGGGACAAGTTAGGGAGCGTTCATATTGAGGGCTGGGGTCACTCTGCGGAAGGCTGTTCAGGGCTTAACTCGAGTTGAGGGGCACTGGAGCAGAGTGTGCACCCACGAGGTCTGTGTGTCGGGGAGATCTCTCTGCGAGGCTGCTAGGTTTTCCAGCAGATGATGGCTGCGATGGACTTTGTAAGGAAGAGGGTCCCACCTGAATGGCCAGTTGTGGGGGATCTGTGTAGGGGAACGCTTTGCAACTAAAGCTTAAAGCTGGGGGAACACTTCCTGGAAGAGGGCTTAGGAGGATGCGGTGGTGTCCCCACTTTGTAGGCTGAGGATGGCACCTTTTATTGCTGATGTCCAAAGTACCTTCTTTTCATCCTTGTTTTGTTGAAACTCGATTTAGAGAGGTAGGTTAGGAAAAAAGAGGTTTTCTGGATGGGCACAGACACCCAGAGGAGCCGGGACAGGCCGCATCCTCTGCTCTAGGTCTAGGTCACTGACCCTGTGCTCTTTTCTGGCCTCTTGTGGAGTGATCTGTAGGTCAAGATCAGGGAGGTGGAGGTTCCTAAAGTGTCAGCTCCAGCGTTTGGTTGCAGATGCCCCATTGATTTGCACTGTGACCAGCGGGGTTTTATGTCACTCTGTCAGGCCTAGAGAAAAGTGGGGTGTATAGACCAGGAGTTCTCCTTCTCCGAGGTGCAGGGTACTTCTCTTCTGTGTCACAGCGCTCTAACTTCCTGTATAGAAGGATCACTAAAGTAGGAAGTGTTACGCGCGTGTGGGAGTGCAGAGTCAAAGAGGAGGAGAAAAGAAAGGGTAGGGGCACACTTGGGGTTGTTTGTGCACAGATAGTGCGGAAGGACTCAGAATTCACTCCGCTGTGCTGAGATTGTAACACGCAAAACTCAAATTGACCATCTCCGGTTTCCGAGGCTGTAAATCTTAACAGGAGGAAACAGCCCATATTTGTACCATGGATCTGCTGGTGGATTCGAACCTCCAGAACCGCGGAGCCTTTAGGTTAACTATGAAATACGCCACCTGGATACTGTGACCACCCGAGCTCCTTGAGACTCTACTAATAAATAAAGATTATTAATAATAATTAATAATAAAGATTATTACACAAGTATGTTGGACATTGTAGACAGTTCCATCCCCTGTGTTGAACTCTGTGAAATTTTATCGACCCCTGTTGCCTGATAAAAATGGTAACTGATTCAACCTATTTGCTGTTGTTGTTCAACATATTTTTAACTCATTAGACCTCTATCCAGATCTTTTGAAATAGGTATCTGTGTATCCCTATTTTACGGATGATAAAACTGAGCCACAGAGAGATTAGTGATTTACTGAAGATCCCACACCTAGTAAGTGGAAGAGCTGGGTTTTAATGCAGGCAGCCTGGTCCAAAATCCACATTCGTAACTTCTCATTCCTTTGCTTCTCTGGAAGTACCCCAGCTCCACATGTGCTTGTATATGTTAGCAGATATTTACCATAGCACCAGAGAGATGAAATTAGCGTGTTCATTGGTTCTTTCTTTTTGAAATCTTTCTTGAGGCTGAGACCTAGGTTTAATTGAAAAGAGGATTAGGAATCTGAGTTTTGTTTCTTCCTTTGCCTTGTTTCTAAGGTCGCCTTGCCATCTGTGTTGTATAATCTTGGGCGAAGGAATAAACCTTTTTCACTTTTTGACATGCTTTTCCCTGTACCTTTTGAGGGTTTTGTTAAAACTGCAAAAGAACCTTCCAGATTGTTTTCTTCCACAGTATCATAATTAGTGGACCACAGCAGATAAAGTTCTTAAACTCTATCAGTTTATCCTAAATTTTTGCAGTGACTCATAGAAAATTGTGTGAAAAGGGGGAAAACAAAACTAAAGCAGTTGCTGTTGATTCCAACTCAATACGAAAGAAGGATTAGGCATCCATAAAAAAAATAAACCTTTCAGGAGTTCTTTAGACGAGCCACCAGGAAACACCAATCCTTAGAAGACAGCAGTGTTTCATAAAGCATAGGATCAACAAAAAGAAGGGGAAGTGTCTGAGCTGATTTGATACAATAGCCACAAGGAGGTACTGAAAAATATTAAAAGATCATAAAGATGATACAGGACCAGGCAAAGCTTTGTTCTATTATACATACAGTTGACTTGATGGCAATTAGCATCATCAACAGAGTTCTGAGTTGGGGGAAAGAAGCTTGAGAAACCTATGCAACTGAGTCACAATCACCTATATCTTGTACTGGGAAAGTTGTAGGTATCTTTACAGGGATTCTGATGGTAAACTGTTCCAACAAGGGGTAAGAAACTCCAAGGCTCTTTGCGTTCATGAGTTTGATATTTGAGTGGGATTCAGTGAATGATGCTAGGTTGAAGTTGGTGTCCTCCACGTAGGTGTTAATGATGCTGATGTTGGGGAAGGGATAGAACGTGCTCCTGGGATGCTGGCCACCTCCATACTCATCTGATAATGGTCAGTGCCAGGCCCGGGGAGGCTGTGTTGGCTCGACCTGGTCCTTTCTGAGCAACCAGAACCTGGGGAAATCCCAGCCCAGAAGCACATCATCTTAGTCGGGCTTTTTTTGCTAAGTAGTACTTTTTCCATGAAGACTCATGGGCATTAGGAGTCACAGAAATTGCTTAGGAAAGTTATGAATTTTAACATTACATTTATCAGTCTGTTGAACAAAATATTTTTTGACATCTATCAGGCACCAGAAAGGTCCCTTAAATTCAGATTGTTTGAAATAACCCCAGGCCCAACGTAAACAAAAAAAAAGGCCCTTGGATTTTTCAAAAGGACTATCTGAGCAGTCATAGAAAGTTTGTCTGTCAGAGTATTATCAGGGGCTTGCAGCTGTTTCTCTCTCGTTAATAGCCGTTTCCTCTGTGGTTTCTGTAGTCGTTGAAATAATGAGTTTTGCTTTTCGTCCTCCACTTAAAAAGAACACATTTGATCTTCCTCTCTATAAACTGTTGATAGAGTGTTAATTATTCTTGAGAAAGAAGGTATTGTCCATTGTTTATACACTTGTCATCCAGAGCTTATTAGAAAACAAAACAAACCAAATTCCTAGCCCTGGTTTGTGATTTGCTCATTGTGACTTAGGGATTCGGAGAAATTTCACTTCTGAACTTTAATGAGAGAGAGGAGTTTCACTTCAGCTCCTTACCTGTTGATGGGAGTTTTGATGATATCACTGGAAATTTAGTTTGTAGGATTTTTGGGTTTTTTCAAAGGTCAGCATGGCATGCTAATTTTCAGGTTAAGGGAGTTCCAGGCTTGACATGGTTCTTGGTTTTGCTGGGACTGGGACTTACGCTTTGCAATTTAGAAGATTCTCCAAGATTGTCCTGAGAGCTGTGCTTGTTGGTTGATAAGCTTCCACTGTCCAGGTTTTTGTCTTCTAGTGATGCTGTGTTCTGGGAAGATGACATTTATGACAGTTTGTGTATTTACGCATTCCCCGCCCCCCTTTTAAATTCAAGCCTTGCAAGAATTTGTATTGTTCAAATAGTTGAAACTTTTTCTTTACAAAGAATTCTCCACCATGAGACTACTTCCATATTTCACCATTTCCTGAGCTCGATTTTCTTTGTTGTCCTTTGCACTTTCAGGAAGCCATTGTGTAGGACAGATACACACAAACACACTCAC